ACACACACACACACACACACACACACACACACACACACACACACACACATCATGATGGTCACAGCTTGAGTCACAGCAGTCTCCTCTGTGGAAAACTGTTGCAGCAATGCACACAAACAGCAGTAACGATTACAATACTTAGGTCAGGAAATCAGACACGACCAAAGCATGGACACAGTGAGCTGCAGTCAGTCTCTTTGCTATTATTGTTTTATCATGATGGAAATAATCCATATCAAGATGTGAGACAAAAGCAAAGGAGTGAATCACATTAGGATAGGGGACTCGTATCGCCAGAAGCCCTGGTAAATAGAGACAATGACATTAGGAGATCTGGTGAGGAAGACGGCTGATGGACAACATGATTTCCCTGTATTATTCAAGAACAGGTTGGTGCATTTATCAACAGAAAATACAAGTTAAATGTCTTTCAATCAGCAATAATACATGTTAACTTTAACTCTCCATGCTAAAGCAAGTTTGTCTCGTTTTTAGATATTAACTTTTTTCAGATTTTGAGCCATAGGCACAACATACAGTATCAAAAATCCTGATATTTCCTTTTGTCTGTTGACATGTTTTTTAGCAAGTAAAGCAACTAATTTAACAAGCCAGTGGTTCCCAACTTTTTCAAATTGTGACTTTGTGCAACCCCTAATCACAGGTGGCATATGTTCATCAGTGGTGAGCACACCACTGATTTATTAACCCTCCAAATCTCTCAGATTGCTTATTTGAATATTTTTTTAACGTTTTACTTCTTTTTTTTAAGTATCCTGTATTTAAAAATTAAAACTAAATAATGGGAGAAAACAAAAACAAATGCAATTGTACATAACAGATCAATAGTCCCTCTTCTTTCCTATCCCATTAGCCAGCCAACACCTCAAAAAGCAACTATTGTTCATCATACTGGCAGCTGCACATGGAATAAATCAGCATGTTGAGAAACTCAATACAACTCTCGTGTGTGTGTATGATGAATATGAGCAGGCAGGTGTTCGCTTGTAGCAAGCGTGTCTGTTTTCAAGGGTTTAATCTGCCCACCAGCTCCTTCGTAACAAACAGATTAAACAAACAAGACAATGTGATAATGAGTGAGCTTTAGGGGTGACAGAAACAGGCTAGCCATCTCGCCCTGCTTCCAGTCTTTATGCTAAGCTAAGCTAAACTTAACTGAGCAAAGCTCTTGGCTGTAGGTTCATATTTAGCAAACAGACATGAGAGTAATATTGAGCTTCCAATCTTACTTCCAGTATTCCTTAAATAAATGAAGTATCTTTTAATAATAATGTGTCTTCATGTCTGACTATCACCATTTTTAGGGGTTTCAGGACAATACAAAGCAACTCTATTTGCCACAAAATAGAGTTGACCAGATGTAATGGTGAGTGGATTGGTGGGATGCATGTGTGCAGAAAACTGCCTTATATTGTATTGACCTCATCCGACGAGCCATTCTCCACCCTGAAGCGCCCTGCCCTCTGTATGGCCCCATCTGCGTCACTAGAAATTAGCTGAGAGGGAGACAGAGAGACACAGACAGAGGCAGACATGTTTAAAATTAGACATGTGACAAACCATGACTTCTGGCGAACAGTAATACCCAGGTCATAAATACATTAGAGCAGACTATCGTTACGGACGAAAAAAGAGGAACCAAGGCGGACGAATCACCTCCATGTGACAACAGCAGCAGGAGTCCAACAAGTATATCTGTCCTCAGCCATCTTTCCGTGTAGATTTAATACCAACATCTCCACAATTCTTAATCACCAATCATTACTCAAGGCTTTGCAATGATTCCTCCGACACTTCACTGTAAAAACAACAACGTATTTCTTTCTTTTTCGCATCTGCCACTCTCTACTTATCATCCCAATTATCTGTCTCTTGCTGACTCACTTCTCTCTGCTACAGAATTGGAAAGGACAGAATGTATCCTGTAAAGTACATACAAGATACAGAAATGGTTGCAACTTTGCGAAACACTGTACACTTACTGACTTCTTTTGCAGGTAGTTGAATGAGATTTAGGTAATGGCTAGACAACCTAAATTGAACTCAGCAGAGGAGTAAACATTCATTTTTAGCTACGCTAGCTGCAGCAGTTGGTCAGTTTGTTATAGAAGTTTGTTATTTGGCGGGTAAAGTGGAGCCGATACTGACATTTATATCTGAACTTGGTGTGAATGCTTTGACACTAGTAATGATTTGCCTCCTTTCTCCTCATTGTGATCTACCAAACCCCCTTTTTTCTATTCCTCTTCACGTCCCCTTTTCCTTGTTATCCCCCCCAAACACCATCACACTGAATGATGCTTTATTGCCAGGCAACGGAACGCAGAGTCTCTCCTCCCTTGTCCCCGTTTCTCCTCCTGGCTCTCTCCTCTTACCGCCTTGACTGTCGTGCTCTATTTTTTCTCCCCTCGCCGATAGATGTCTCTGCTCTGCCGGAAAAAAAAAAAGAAAAAAAAGTTGGCTGTGTATCCCCGCACACACTGCGATACGTCCAGATGGTCTGGAGGAGCCACGCAAGAAGAGGAGGAAAAGGAAGTTCCTCGGAGAGAAGGTCTAAACATGGAAAGCTGCTAAATGTACCTCTTAGTGAAACTGACTTTTAGGAAGTAGACAGATTGTTGAGGTAACAGAAATAAGTGGCTGAGATGATCAGGAATCAAAGAAATACCTGCAGGCAGATGATCAGAACACTGAATACTCCAATGATCAGACATTAAGGGATATTTTCCATGTAAACACCCTAAATATGATCCAAACCAGGACACGTAAATGTTCACATTCAAGGGAAGTTTTCCTGCTTTTACAAACCATGCACAATGATTAACCGTTATCTAAAACCAAAATGTGAATGGCCAACACAACCTGTACAAAACTAAGCGGTGTTTATCAGTCTGGAGCGTGGGTGGTGTGCCCTGCTTCAGCGGCTCATTAGATCACGTCAGACAGAACAATAACGAGGGAAAGTGATGAGAGAGCACTTATCGTGGAAAGAGAGAGACAGCGAGCGAGGGTTAAAGTCCATTCAAAAGATTCCTGTGGGCTAGTGAGGATGAAAGGCGAGAGCTTTACATTCTGAATAAAATCATTAATAACTGTCACGCTGACTTTATTGTTCATGCTAAATTAAATCTGATATGCAGTGCTGTATAGCTGGGGGATTAGAAAGCTCTCAAATGAGATTCTGTAACTTTAGCTCGACTGGAGTTTGATCTCAAAGCATATATAAATGCTAAATATAATGTATGCAGTATATATAAAAAATATATAAATATATATACACTTATTTATGTATTGCAGCACATAAATAAATAGTTTGTTTTCAAGTAATGACAAACATTTAAACAGACAACTTAAAAGACGCTGCTATATATCAGTTAACTGTACTTCTATTTTCACATAACATATTTATGAGCACATTTTTCATCGAATAGAAGTCAAGAAAAGAAATGTCACATGAAATAAGTTAATCCTGACAAAGAGCCTTTCTTCCTCGTCTCCCATCTGATTCACTTAAATGATTAAACTTAAATGTTTCATATGTGAACGGCCAACCCAGGTAGTTTCTATTAAAAAAGAAAATTGTTTCTGATTTTATCTTACCAAACAAAGTGGCCATGCAAATAATGATAATTTTCATTTTCAGTTAATCTGCCAATTATTTACTTGACTAATAGTTTGGTCTATTGTCAGAAAGAAGTAATCACAAGGTGACATCTTCAAATTGCTTGTTTTGTTTGACTAACGGTTCAAAACCCAAAGATATTTATTTTGCCGTCACATAAGACAAAGAAATGCAGAAAAGCATCACAAGCATCACAACGTTTAGGATTTTTGTTTGAAAAATGACTTGAACTATTAATTGATTGTCAAAAGTTATTTCTCCATCAGTCAATTAACGGATTAATAGACAAAACATTGATATTGTAAAAATATTTCTATTCATACAGCACTGATTTCACCCACCCACTCAAGTAAAGCACTGCCTACATTTTCTCCCCATGGTATACTGCATATAATAAGAGAATACAATCCAGCCAAGCATGTTTACTGCAGGTGTGAAGCTCTGATAAACGACAGAGAGCTTTCTGTGCAATAATTGGCTGCGTCTTAGGAGAGGCTGCAGGAAATACTGCCTTCTCTCCTCTCGCATGCATATTAATAGGCCTGAAAACAAATATATGTTCGACTTACTTCCTGGTGTGGTGGTGTGTGCCAGTGTTTGTGTGTGAGTTAATGAGATTTTCCTTTAAAATCTGTGCGTATGCGCCGAAATTGGAAAGTAAATGTCGAAGCTATGGGCCTCTATCTTCCTCCATTTCTCCTGCCTCCTGCAACATTAACCATCCAACTGCAGGATAATGGAGGGGAAACCAATGCAGCGTTCAGACGGAGCAATGCACCGCCTCCATGGTGTATTTGTGTGTGTGGAAAAGAGAGGAAAATAAGTGTGTCACATTCTGTATTAAATGTGAGTTTAGATAAGTGTTTCTGCGGCTGGGTGTGAATAGGCTTTCTTGACGTTTTTTGGGGTGAAAGAATGAAAAATGGCAGGAGAAAGGAGCCATTACTGTAAGCGCTCTGAGGAGTCTGAGTCTGTGTGTGTCTATGCGCACACTCATGCATTCATCACGCGGCCACTGCTTTTAAATCATACAACAGAAGAGTGGCAAAGAAGGAAAAGCTGCACTCCAACGGTTCCCCAGTGGGCCGAGGGATGCAGGGGAGAAAGGGCAGCGGGTTATGCTTCTACGCTTTAACAAACAACCCATAAAACATCTCACCTCTGCCGGGGAGCAATAGTGGAGGGATAGGGCAGGACTAAGGAGAAGGGGAATCAAACATATAGAGAGTGGGGGACAGAATGAAGGATGAGGTTGCTGGGGAAGAGAGGGAAAGAGCAATGTGTAATGACAACAAAAAGCCAGATGATAAAAGAATAATAGCTGTCCCCACGATGCGTAACCCCGTGGGAGCATTACAGACAGAGAATAGATGCGCGCGCGCACACGCGCACGCACACACACACACACACACACACACACACACACACACACACACACACA